CTATAAAAGGTGCACAGGCCACCTGATTTATATTAACTCCTGCTTGCTTTTCCATTCCAGCCGTCCCCGTGCTAGTCTTTCGTTACGTTCTCATAGTTTTAAAGACTCTCTGCTCTGTGACCATCATTCCTGCAGCAATGTGAGCTTTTTTCTTGCACCGAAGTGGATTTAGCACTTACAGCCAATCCTTTTACCTCATTTTCTCCTTTTATCTCTTGGCTGGCTGGAGTTTACGTCGAATAGTGTTTTTGAAAAGGGTTCACAGGAATGAAATCCCCTGAATTTGGCACGCTGGAAATATGTGTCTGTTGCCGTTAGCCTCGTAAAATAGTTTGATTTAGCACAAAGTGTTGGGGCCTCATTTTTCTTCTTCCAGAGGACTTTGCAGGGATTTCTTCACTGTCTTTGGATGGTGTAGTCTGGAGGCAACCTGAATATTTGTTTTCCCCCTCCGCGAATGTGTCGATAGTTTTGCCCGCATGCCCCCAGATCCTTCATCTTTGTGTTTTTTTTTTTTTTTTTTATTTCTAGGAGAGAGAGAGACAGCGTGAGCAGGGGAGGGTCAGAGAGAGAGGGAGTCACAGACTGAAACAGGCTCCAGGCTCTGAGCTGGCAGTCAGCACAGAGCCCGACGCGGGGCTCAAACCCACGAACCGCGAGATCATGACCTAAGCGAAAGTCGGACGCTTAACCGACTAAGCCACCCAGGTGCCCCTCATCTTTGAAGATAAGGAACTTTATTAGGCCAGTTCTCAGCATTAGTCGTTTTGAATCACTCTTTCCTTTCAACGTGTAGATCAAAGTTTTCTGTGTTTAATTTTAATTTCTTTTTTTTTAATGTTTTTTTATTTATTTCTGAGAGAGAGAGAGACAGCGTGAGCAGGGGAGGGTCAGAGAGAGAGGGAGACGCAGAATCTGAAGCAGGCTCCAGGCTCTGAGCTATCGGCACAGAGCCCGACGCAGGGCTCGAACCCACGAACCGTGAGATCAGGACCTGAGCCGAAGTCGGACGCTCAACCGACTGAGCCACCCAGGCACCCCTAATTTTAATTTCTTATCTCTGGTAAAATACACGTAACACAGAATTTCCCATAGAAGCCACTTTCAGCTTACAGCTCACTGGTGTCAAGTATATTCACGTAGTTGCAACCAGCCTCCAGAACTCCTTCGTCTTGCAAAACTGAAACTCTATACGCACTAAACAGCGGCTCCTGTTTCCCGTACCCACCCCCACCCCCAGCCAGATTTCAGTTTTCTTCTATTTTTAAGGAGCCCTGTCTTCAATTATGTTTTTCTTTTCTAGGTGTTCTCTTTTTCAGGAGCAGAAAGTATACATATGGCAGATCTGGTTACAGACGCGGTGTTCTTGATTCTGTTCCTCTGAGTATATCGTGTCCCTCGGAGAAGTGTGTTGTCAGCTCTGTCCCCGAGTGTCATAATGGGACACTGAGTCAGCATCCTCCCTCAGTTTGGTTCCAGTTTCAGGGGACTTGGCAGGACTTGGTCATAGAAAGTGTTATTTGGGGTTGTAAGTGCTTTCTATTTCCATCCCAAATGGAATTTACGTATCTGTGCTCATTGTTTTTGTTGTAGTCAATTCAACTGGTTTCAGAGATGAGAAGTTGGTACATCTCATACTCCTCCTCTTTATATTGGAATTATATTATTGTTTTCCCCCTTAATTTGTATGTGACTTATTTAGAATACAATCCATATCTGAACATTAAACATCCATAAGCCCAGAAAAGCTGCAGAACAACCCAGAAAAGAAGCCTATTTTAATTAAGCAATGGTTGTTTTGGTCATTCCCTGACATTTGCGGTGGGAAGGGAGGTAAAGAACTATGGTTAGCCTTCCATCTGGACGCAGCTGTATTAGTAGGTTCCTTGAGTGGATTGCCCCTCAGACACCACACTGCCCACCCCCACCTCCCAATCAGAGGAACAGTGTTGGGGTGGACAGACCCACACCACAAGGGGGAGCTGTCTGCTCCTTTTTCTGTGGCCTGCCTTGGTCCTTCCTCGGCTGCCATTGCCTCTGGTGTGGAAAGACATTTCATCCCAGCTGGGGGTTGCTCGGAAACGGTATCTGGGGAAGCTCTTCCCCTTCTTCAGGCTTTGTCACGATTGCCATGCCTCCAAAGGCACCTGTGTTTGGTTGTGCAGTGGCTGACGTTTTTCTCCTTTGAAGCTGGAGGACCTGGGGCATGTCAGGGTGCTAGAAGGCATATATCCCAGGAGACTGGGTGGGTACTATCAGTGGGGAAAAAGGGAGAAGGGTTGTGTGTAGGTATATGGCCTCAGTGGATGATGCTACATGAATCTCCTTTCAATACACAGACCACTTGTTAGGCATCTGTTGCCTACTGAGCATTAGAAATTCTGAGATCCCATGCAGACCTGCTTCCGCCAGCTACCTGCCTGGTGGAGGAAGCATGCATGCTGAAAACACGTTCTGAGAATGGAAGGGTGTAGTGTGACCACCACCCCCCAACTCCGATGGTTTTCTCTTTCTCTTAATGCAAGTGCCTGACGTAAGCTTTAATTGCCACAGCATCCACTTCCAAGAGGGTTATGACTAGATAAAAACTAGATAAAGTCAGCCACATGACTGGATAAAGAACCAGGCTGCCCTCTTTCGCTCAAGGCTCCTTTGTTGTAGAGCTCTTGGCTGATGTCGATAACTGGCCGTTTGGGCTGATTGTTTTTCCTCTTCTAGCACTTTAAATTTCTTCTTTTTAACGTTTATTCATTTTTGAGACACAAAGAGAGACAGAGCACGAGTGGGGGAGGGGCAGAGAGAGAGGGAGACACAGAATCCAAAGCAGGCTCCAGGATCTGAGCTGTCAGTACAGAGCCCGGGACGGGGCTCAAACTCATGGACCACAGGGTCATGACCCAAGCTGAAGTCGGATGCTTAACCGACTGGGCCACCCAGGTGCCCCTAAAAAAAAATTTTTTTTTAGATCAAACTATCAGAAAGAGAAATGAAGAAAATAGCTTCATTTACCATAGCATCAAAATAATAAAAATAGTTAGGAATACATTTAAGCAAGATGGTAAAAGATTTTTACAGTGAAAACTCTAGGACATGAATACCAATATAATGGAACATTATTCAGCTATGACAAAGAAGAAAATCCTGCCATTTATATCCGTGTGGCTAGATCTTGAGGGCATTATGCTAATTGAAATAAGTCAAACAGGTAAGGGCAAATAGTGTATTAATTCACTAATGTGGGATCTAGAAAATCCTGAATTTGTAGAAACAGAATGGACTGTTAATTGCCAGGGGCTGGGAAGTGGGGGAAATGGGTGACGGGGGACAAGAGTATGAAGTTCTGGTGATATGATGAAAGCTAGGAGCATGAAGAGAGGAAGAGTTTGGGGATGGGGGTGGGGGTGTGTATTAGTTTCCTAAGGCTTCCATAATAAAGTAGAATGGATAACTTCGAATGACCAATTTATTGTAGGGCGATGCTCTCTTAGCAACTGGTAGGGGAGAATCCTTTCTTGCCTCTTCTAGCTTCTGGTGTTTGCTGGCAATTCTTGGCATTCTTGGTCTTACAGATGCATCACCCAGTCCCTGGCTTCATGTCACATGGCCGTCTACCCTTGATGTGTCTTCACATCATATGTGACTCTGTGTCCAAATTTCTCTCTTCTTATAAGGATAGTAGTCATATTGGATTATGGACCCACCATACTTCATCCAATATCACTTTCACTAATTATATCTGCAGTGATCCAGTTTCCAAATAAGGTCACCTTCTTGAGGGACCAGGGGTTAAAATTTCCACAAATCCTTTTGGGGGACACAACTGAACACGTAAAAGGGTGGCAGTCTAATTGAGTGTGAAGTGCCCTATCTACCCAGTGTTGATTGTAATTGGCGCTCGGAGGGGGCCTGCTACTGGAGGTCTTTCTGTGTGAGCAGTGTTCTCAGAGATGGAGAATATGCCATCATGGTGGGAAGAGGGAGGAGGGAGATGCATTTCTTCACGAATTTAAAACAGGGTCTAGGTCGGGGCACCTGGGTGGCTTAGTTGGTTAAGCATCTGAGTTTGGCTCAGGTCATGATCTCAAGTTTGTGAGTTTGAGGCCCGCATAGGGCTCTGTACTAACAGTATGGAGCCTTCCTGGGATTCACTCTCTCTCTTCCTCTCTCTCTGTCCCTGCCCCCCTCTCAAAGAAATAAATAAAAAAAAATAATAAAACAGGGTCTAGGTTGAATGCTCTCATTTCCAGGATAGAGAGGGTGGGTGTTAGGTGGGGTGGAGGAAGGACAATCTAGAATCAAGGACTCTGGGAGTGTTAGAAAGCACACCTGCCACACACCAAGCTTGGGAAGAGGGCTGGCAGGAGAGCGTTGTCCTGTCTTTCTCCACAGTCTATTCTTCTTCCCCTGCTCACCTGAGTGCAGAGTGTGAAATGCAATCCCAGACTGTGATGGAGGGAAACAGGGGATACAATAATCACGTGGATTGTTGCAGCGAGTTCAATTGGCCTTTTAGTCAAGTGCCAGCTCTCACTTCAGCGGCTCATGATTTTACTGGTCTGATCTAATTAGCTGTTGCCCTTCACTTTGGCCCAGTGTAGAAAGGGTGAATGGAAGGCAGGAGGAATGTATTTTTAACAAGGGCACCAGAAAATTGCTTTAATAGAATGACTTGGGCTTTGACTATGTTCAGGAAGACAAATCCTGGTTCTTTGGAGGTTGATTTAATTTTTGGCAATGTTCAAATGTCAGTAGGCACTGTATGTGAGAGATTAGACCAGAACTGGAGAGGCATTTGCACTAGGAGGCCCAGCACGTGTGGCTGTGGCTCAGTGCGAACGAAAGGGCTTGTTAGAAGCTGTGTCCTCAAGGAAGGCTTGATGGGCCCAAGGGCCTGGGTCGGGACACCCAGGTCTCCTTGTGTTCCGGGGATGGCTTTGCTCCCCACCTCCTCCCTGCTCCGCCCCACAGAGCACACGCACACGGCATGTTGGATGCTTCAGTTTAATCGTTCTGGGCTGCAAGCGTGTTTAAGGCTTTGAGTCCAGGGACCCCATTCTTTTCAACTTCTTAACCATGACTCAGAAAGAATAGTGGACTGAGTTTCTTCAGTTCTTGTAGAAATTCAACATCACCTAGAAGAAAGTGGAGGTGAGAACGAGGCTCACAGGCCCCAGGCCCAGCTCCACCCTGTCTGTCCTCCTCAACTCTGTCTTCTGCTTCCCAACCTCACCCAGCCCCTGGACAGCCTTGTATAGGAGTCAGAGGGATGGAGAGTAGATTCACCAGACCCTGAGGGACCAACCCCTTCCCCATTTGGGCAGGCTTCGAAGTGGGAAGATGGGGGCTGAGACCCCAGGGACAATCTGGTATCAGGCAACCCTGTGGTTTGAGTGTGTATGAGAAATTGGAGACATTTGAAGATGGCAGGAGGGAAGGTTCAATAGGGAGGGGATGTGGCGGTGCCAGGTCTCTGGGCGAGGTGGTCCTGGCCCACTTCCCGCCCCTGGATGATGGGTGGTGAGTATTCCTGTTCCCACAAGGCTTTGCCTTAGGATGCACTCACTTTCATGAAGATGTTTTACAGCTTCAAGCCTTTCACTCAGTCTTTTTTTTGCTTGTTGTGCTAGCAAGTTACCTTTGCTCACCAGGGATTCTAATTTTGGAGCAGAAGAATCACATTAGCAGAAAAGTCACATCATTTCGAGAAAACTCCCACCTCCCTCTCCCGCCCCTCATCAGACATTGTCCCTGTACAAATTCCTAAAGTGAAGAAGTTTTGCTGAGGGGTCCAGCTTCTCCTAGGAAGGTGGGTGGGCCAGGAAAGAAACCATGTAGGGTACAGGGAGCAAACTCTTTTGCAAAAGCTGTGTGTGTGGGTGCTGCAGCGGAAACTCCCACTTGCGCCTTTGCAGTCAGGTGAATGAATACGTCTGCTTCTCCCTGGACTTGGCTCTGTGGGAGGAAGTGTCATGGAGGCCTGTCACCAGAGACTCCTCTGGGTTGTTATCTGGCATACAGACTTACTCAGTGCACCTTCTTTACTTGCAGTGGCGCTGCTTGACTGCTGGGATGTCTCTTGGGGTGAAGCAGATTTGACTGGAGATGCAGTTGCTTCAGGTTCAGCTACAAATACACCAGTTTGTTGATTTTAGCAAAGTCAAGTGTTTTTACTTTTGGAACGAGTGGCAGAGCCCCAGGATGCCTAGTATGTGCTGGGGGCCAGGTTATGGAAGTGGTAAGATTTCTACATACAAGTGTCTGTTACGGACTGAATGTTTACGTCCCCCTCCACATTCATATACTGAAATCCTAACCCTCAATATGATGGTCGTAGGAGGTGAGGACTATGATGTAATGAGGTCATGAGGGTGGAGCTCTTTATGAATGGGATTAGTGCCCTTATAAAAGAGACCCCAGGGTTCTTTCTGCCATGTGAAGATGCAGTGAAAAGTCAGTAGTCTGTAATCTGGAAGAGAGTCCTTACTAGAACCTGACCATGCTGGCACCTTGATCTTGGGATTTCCAGCCTCCAGAATTGCGAGAAATAAATTTCCGTTGTTTAAGCCATCCAGTCTGTGGTGATTTGTTGTACATCCAGCGTCTTGGATGGTGGGCAGGGCCGGGCAATTCTAATGGGCAGGGTTGGGGAGGTATTTGGGCTAGGATATGGGGGGAACCAAGGAGCCCGTCAGAGCGATGCTGAAGGCAGGATTTTGGCAGGGGGGGATATTCTAAAGGGGCTTCCTTGGGGGGCAGGAAGTCAGTCAGCCAGAGCTCAGGGGAAGGCATGTATAAGACACATGTGGAGAATGCAAAGAAGTTCAATTTAACTGATGTGGGCCATACATGAAGGAGAAGCATGGAAAACCAGGATGGAAATGATGTCTGAGGCTGGATAGCAGGCAGCTTGCTAAGGAGTTGGGAGTTCTGGGAAGTGTGTGCAGGTGAAGGTATTAATACCACATGGTTATCATTTCCCTGATCATTTAACCTCATCTTTTTCTCCCCTTAATTCACAGCAAACCTTTTCTGCATTCTTCCTACTGATCTTGCCTGCCTGGGTTGTCCCATTTCATCCTTAGCTTGTCACACCCTAATCCGTGCTCCTCCACTATCACCAAGAGCAGGACCCAACTCCCACCACTCCCCCATTCCTCTCCCAGCTTCTACCCGCACCCCGAGCTGTTAGGCCCTCCCTTTGAGCACAGGGATGGGAGGAACAGAAGGACTCACCGGCCACAGCTTCCAGAGCAGCCTCAGTGGTTTCAGAGGGGGCATCTTCTGCAGTGGAAGAAAGAGGTGACGGTGAAGACTGAACCGGACCCACCTGAGCCATCCTACCTCGCATTCTTTATCCTCGGCTCTCGGGAGAGTTTGTGGACATAGGGAGACATATGTCCCTATTGGTTAAATGTGCCCTTCTGCCTCATCGGTAGACCCACTAGGCACTCTGTCTGGTGTTTAACCCCTCCTACGGTTGTTTGACGCAGGTTCTCCTGGGAGAAGTATAATATTCTCTGAAAACTGCCCTTCTCCCCGATTGCCTCTGGCCTGTGAGGGTGCCATGAGATTCCAGCCAGGGAACTGGCTGTGGTTGGAGGCGCTCAGGCTCCTCTGTGGCTGAGGGGGACAGTGCAGGGGCCATGGGGCCATGTCTGAGTGATTTCTGCCATTGAACTCCAGCCCTCATTGTCTCTATTCTTTCAACACAATGTTTATGCAAAGGGCTCTGCTAAGTGGAGGGGGTTCAGTGCTGAGGAAGGTGGAAAGACCCTGCCCTGACCCAGCTTACGTTCCATGACATAATTATTGAGTCACTATGTGATGGCACTGGAGGGACAAGTGCAGAGTGGTGTGATAAGGGCAGGCGGGGTCTAATTTTTCCTACATATTCATGGAAGGCTTTTTTGAAGAATTGATATCTAAACAGATTTGACAGATGAGAAAGCATTGGTCAGGTGATGTTTTGGGTTGGCTGGAGGAAAAGAATTCTAGGCAGAAGGAAGAGCAAGAAGGAAGGTCCCAGTGTTCAAGGAGCAGCAGGGTTGTCCTGGCCTGAATAGTGCTTCTTCCACACACACCTCCCCCCTTCTCAGTAAGAGACATCCTGAGACACAAAGCCATGGTCAGGGCCTATTGCTTGGCAAGCAGAGCATGGGCTAGATTTCAGCTCCTGTCATCCCCGGCCTGGCACCCCCGTGAGGGGGACAACATGCCCGGCTCTATGTGGTGGCCCAGAGGGCCTGAAAGAAGGTCAGGGTGGCTGGAGCATAGTGGGTAAAGGATGGTGTGTGAGAGGATGAGCCAGAGAGCAGGCAGCACCAGGGGGTTTCTGGCTCCCTAACCAATGCAGGTCAAGAGGCTATGTGCAGAGAACTGGGGGCAGGAGTCACTTGCAGGGACCGGAGGAGCCAAGACAGCACTGGGAGAGAAAGAGAAAAATGTAGACCAGAGTTAAGGCTGCCCTGGACTGTCAGGGATCTGGGGTACAGGGGAAGGGCCATACTCACGGGCACAGACCAGGGCCCAAGCCAGAGCTGCCAGGAAGAGGAGAGCTGAGAATCTCATGCTGTGGGTTGAGAAGCGAGTATAACCACAGAATCTTCAGAGAGTCTGGGAATACCAGTGCAGATACTTCTGGGCCCTTTAAAGGATACCAAGGGCCAATGGGAATCAAGTTTGGAGAGGTGTGACTTCTGTGTCCTCCTCCCCTTCTTCCTCAGACTGTCACTTGCTCAGTCAACAAGTGCTATCTGGGGCTGGCTGGTAGCTGGCATCCTTACTGGGAGGTCCTTTCCCTCCTGATTTCCAGCCATCTTTTTCTTCCCTCCTTCCTTCTCCAGCTTACTTGCCCTCTGGTTCCACATCCCTGGGATCTCAGGGACCAGATGTAGAGCCAATTTTGTTTGGAGAGATTCTGAAATGTGTCTCTCGATGGTATTGGTAGGATTGGCATCTCCCCAGGAAGAGGTTGGGGAGGACTCAGTGCACAGGCTTGAAGGTTTCCCCACACCATGTGAGCTTCCTTCCCCAGGAGACCACACTCAGAACATCTGGGGACTAAGCTCATGACTCCTTTCTCCTCTTGAGGGGACGGGTTTGGAGGCATGAATGACTTCTCTGGAGTTGTCTCCTGCTCTTGAAGTTATTATCTACCCCCTAGGAGGAACTCCTAAACCTCAGATGGACCCCTGTCAACCTCTATCTTCAGGTCCAGCTGATGGGAGTCCCTGTATCTGAGAGGATCTTCTGATTACAGGATGATGGCAGTTCCCTGAAGTTGGAATTTGGTTCCCCTTCAAATGGGGAGATGATCCATGGTGTGAACCATCCAGAAAAGCAGATAATTTTCTTTGACTTGGGATTTCTTCCTTCCTTGAGCTGGAATTCAAGAGGCCCGGTTCTTGAGTTCTGGCTTTGGCATATACACAGGATGGTACATTGCGATACACTGAAGACTTTAGGATTTTCATTTGTCATCTGGGAGTGACAGCTCCTATGTACAGGACTATGTTGGGAATTAAGTAAGATAATACACAGCAAAGCATTTTTTAGATGATAAAATTGTATGCAGATGTGTGGGTTACTCGTAGTTTGCAGAAGGATCATCTTTCTGGGTAGATTTGGTTCAGACTGGTGCTAAATGCTAAATAGAATGGGGTCAAGGAGACACAGGAGACAATTGAAGGGCTGGTGGGTAGAGAATAGGGTCCTGTATACCAGTTTGTGATTCTCCATTTGTTGGTGATGGCTTTCACCAGGCCCCAGGTGGTCCTGCAGGCTTTCTGCCTCAAGGCTGTTCTGAAGATTGGTGTGGAGAGGGGATATCAGGAAGTTTATATCTTAAGGGTGCTTGAGTGCCTGGGTTCAGAGCATTAGTCTGCTCATAAGATAAAGGACGAGAAAACTGATGGGGTGGGACATCACAGGCATGAGGAGCAGGTCCTTTCGGGGCTGTCCTTCATCCAGGTTTCACCTATCCTTAATATCAGGTAAGATGACAGTCACATTCATCTGCCCCAGACATGGTGAGTAGGAACTGGGTTTAAAGTAGCTGCTCACCCACTAACTCCCTGTGTGATTTGATACTTAAGATTTATCTGGCATCTAATGGTGGCCAGTAGGTGAAGAAGAGGGGTGCATTGAATTAATATAGGGGTAAGACTTAGCACTGACTGCCTGCCTAAGGGTCTGGTACTGGAAGCCTTGAAGATGGGGTGGCCTTAACTTGACGGGGAGCAAGAGAGAGTTTTGACTGCATCAGTGCCCTGGAATGTGTGCGTGTGTGTATGTGTGCATGTGTGTTTGTGTCCATAAGTACTATAGTGCTATAGTAGGAGAGGCTATGACTATATCTCAACGATCTCTATGAGCACGTCAAAAAAACTAACAGGAGCAAACCATGATATTTGCACAAGTTTTTCTAAGAGGAAATTAGAACTTTGGCATCAACACTAGAGCTGTCACAGAACAAGGTCTCTCCAAATGTCACTGCTCAGAACTTTTCCTCCCCTAATTCTCCTCTTGGCCCCATGAATTAAAGAGGCAGGTATTGACATAAATGGGGGTGAGATTGAACATAGGGACATTAGTTCCATAGAGAATTTTCAGTATTTTGTAACAGGGCTCAGGTGAAATGTTACTCTAAATTATAGGGCCTGGAAAAGAATTAGATATGTATATTAAAGAAAAGAGATGCACCTCATGTATCTGGGTGAAGAGCTGTGTTCTGTGATGTCTTGTCTTCTAGGGTATCTCACCTCCATAATGCCTCTGTCAGTTGCCAATGTGTCTTTTCTTATTGGTTATTCTCCTGGTTATTCTCTATTCATAGTTCTTTGCTCCCCTCCCTGCCTCAGATCTATTCTCTGACCATCTCTGCACTGGTCTGGAAGGATGACCTTTGTGGGGTGCACCACCTGGGCTCTCTTGCCCTTTAGCTTCTGGTTGAGTTTGGCCAATGGGAGACACTAGTGGGAATTCAGAATAGGAAGAGAGAGAAGTCAAGGCATTTGTTCTTCCCGTTCTCTCCCTGTGTTGGCAAGTGTGGCAGGTAGATACCTCGGAGGATAGACTTCCGAGATGGTTCCCAATGATTCCCATTTCCTGGTCCATGCCCCTGTGTAATACCCATGCTGGATCTAGTGATTCATTTCTGACAAATGGAAAATGGCAAAAGTGATTGGATATCATTTCTGAGATTAGGTTACAAAAGACTATGACTTTTGTCTTGCTTATATGCACAATCCCTCTCTCTTTCTGGGTCTTCTCAGCTTGCATGCCCTGGTGAAGAGAGCTGTCCTGGCATGGGTTGCTCTATGGAGAGGCCCATGTGGGAAGGAACTGAGGGCTGCCTTAGTCTGCAGCTAGGGAGACACAGAGGCCCGCAGTCCAACAGTCTATGAGAAACTGAATCCTGCCAACATCATGTGATTGTCTTGATGATATCTTCATTGTGCCTTGTCAGAGATTCTGAGCAGAGGACCCAGCTACATCTAGACTCCTGATCCAAAGCAATTGTGAGGTAAGAAATGATGCTATATGAAGTCACTAGGTTTTGGAATAATTTGTTATGAAGCCACAGATTATTAATATAGCCTGGAGTAGCAATGGCCATGTTCCTCTATAGTTTGTCAATAGCTTGTCTGGTGATGCTGGTTCCACAGCTCCATCTCCTAACTGGTGTCAGGGAATGCCATTTCCTCTCCTTTCTGCTTCAGTGTTAGGGATGGGAGTGGCTTTCTGCTGTTGTGAGTCATTACTTGTACCTCTGTAAATAATTTTTTTTTCATTAAAAAGTCTCTTAAAAAAGCCTTTCTGAGGATGCCATCTGTTTTCTTCCAGGACCCTGTGTGATGTGCTCTACCGTGTCTGACCCACGCTCAGTGTCTTTTCCTTGTCCCCTTTCTCTTGTGTGTTAAACCCTGTCCTGGGGTTAGAGGGTTAGAAGATACTCAAAGGAGAAAGCGACCCAGACTCTTGGGGTAGATAGCTCACATATTCAAGACACAGATGTATGCTGTGTTTTTGAGGGGTATCTTACCCTGAATGCTGCAATTTGCATGGCTGGTCTTCTCTGCCAAGCTCTTAAGGGCTGGCCCAAACTGCCATACTCTCCTGGTGCCCTTAATCATTCATCTTGCCAGTGGGGGAGGTATGAAGACAACAAAGTAGAGTAAAATTATTTTAAAGACTCTTATTCTACTTATTTAATAAACATACAGCATGTAATATGTCCCAAGCAAGCACTATTCTCAGAGCTTTATAAATTATATCTCATTTAATCCTCATAACAACCCAATGAGATAGGAAGTGTTAATACCATCACTTTACAGATGGGGAAACTAAAGTAAAGGCAGGTTAAGGGACTGGTCTATCATCACATAGCTATTATGGGGCAGAGCTTGTTTTAGACATAGGCTTTCTGGCTCCAGAGTCAATGCTATCAACCACAACTCTATGCTTGAATATGAAATCCATTTTATATTAAACATTAGGTCTCTGTAACATTAAGTTTCTCTAGTCTTAACTAATTAGTACCTGTAATAATAAAGGTTCTTTAGGGAAAATTGAACTAATTGTGTGTGTGTGTGTGTGTGTGTGTGTGTGTGTGTGTGTGTGCGCGCACGCATTCTTTTAAGGAATTGGCTCATACGATTATGGAGGCTGGCAAGTCCAAGATCTGTAGCTCATGTCTGAAGGCTATTGCTGGCAGAATTCCCTTTTGCTCCGGGGAGGTCAGTCTTTTATTCTAGTCAGACCTTCAACTGATTACACAAGGCTCACCCATATTCTGAAGGGCAATCTGCTTAATTCAAAGTCCACTGATTTAAATGTTAATCTCATTCAAACTCTCCCTCATAGAAACATCAAGAATAATGTTTGACCATATATCTGAGCACTGTGGCTCAGTCAAGTTGATTCATAAAATCAACCGTTACAGTATCTATCAACATTTTGATTTTGGAAGGCTTAACAGACATCAAGTAGGGCTTAGAGGGAAAAACAGCATCCTATGCACTTCAGAAAACTTTTTCCAGACCTTAATGTGAAGGACTCTTTTTTCTGTTCCTGGTTTCACAGGTGAAGTGGAGAGTTCCACGGAGCCACAGGAACAAGTCCATAAAGAACAAAGAATAAGCCCTTCTGCCTATGGTCTAAGCAAAAATAATTCTCATGGCTCCCATGTGATCCAGTTGCTTCACTTGGCAATGTACAGATAGGGACGTGGAGTCAAAGGTGAGGGTTAAGGATTGCAAATGTCAGTGCCTCCAGGAATCAGGCAGTTAATATAAATGAGCCAGGAGGACCAGATATAAGGCAGACAACAGTGTAATGATAAGTGAGGAGTGTTCCTCCACGTCAGGATTAGGGAGTCAGGAGGAAGTGCTAGAGCTGGAGCAAATTGGGGTGTGTCTGTGCCCTCTAAAGTGGTCAGCTGTCCCTCCCTCAAGCTGATTGTTGCCAGACATCCAACTTCTTCAAGGGAAACTGGAGATCTGGATTTCCATGTGAAATCTCCTGATTTTATTTCCCCTCCTCCTCTTCCTCTTCTCCCTCCTCCTTCTCCCTCCTCCTCTCTTCTCCTTTTACATTTTATG